AGTTCTTGCTGTGTTCTGTCTTACATGCCTGTGGATGCGTAGAGGCGATCAAGGAGTTATTAAATGAATACACGGAACACGCTGTCGTTTGCGGGCCTGAATGTTAACGGCCTGGGGGATTTCACGAAGCGGAAACGTACAACGGCATGGATTAACAGCAGAAAAGGAGCAGACGTAATGGTTTTGTCAGATACCCGAATAGCGGACGATAACACCTACTGGTCTTCCCTTAACCTCACCTCTTTTGCTGCCACCTCTTCTGTGACCCGAGCTGGAGGAGTTGCAGTTCTCAGCCAGCGAACAGACCTTTCCTTTCACAACCCTTTAGCTCACCCTTCAGGAAGACTTGTTAAGACGGAAGTTCACTGCTCGAATCTTCGTCTCACCTTGATAGCAACTTATCTTCCTGCAGACAAAGCCGAGAAAAGAGCCTTCATCAGGATAGTGCTTGGTCCGCTATTAAGCCAGATCCAGCCGGGCACTCACCTGCTCATCCTAGGAGATCTTAACACCATTGAGAACCCACTGCTTGATAAAACCTCCAAACACGGATCGACTAAGGAGAATGACTTTCTCTACCACCACTGCAATGGTTTTGACATATCGGATGCTTTTCGCTTCCTTCACCCAACTGAACGAGAGTTTACCTTCTACTCACAAGCGCATTAGGAGAGCTCACGGATAGATCGAGCTTTAGTCTCTCAGTCCTTGCTCCCGCGTCTCGTGTCAGCCGCGCATGTCTCGCCGGATGAGCCGGTCTCTGATCATGGTTTTGCCGTCCGGGTGATCTTCAAGCTAAAGTCGCAGCTGAAGCTGGGGCTGGGGATGTGGCGTTTACATCCTTCTCTGTTAGGGAGGCCAGGGGCTAAAAGAAAGATCGAGGAGGTGGAGCGGTTGGTCACACAGAATGGAGGGGGGTTCACGTCCCTCATTTCTCGCCTGCACACCAGCCTGCGAGCATACGCAAGGGAGGAAAGCAAGAGGATAAGGGCAACCATTGCTCATCTTACTACAGCGGTGGCGGCGTTGAGGCAGGAGTTCATGCAGAACTCGAAAGATCAACTTTTGAAAGAACGGCTGAGTAAAAGGGAGCATCAGCTTAAGGAATATTTTGCGTGCTGAAGGGACAGGATGCATACCATGGCTGGAATGGAAATGGCGATGTCAGGAGAAGTTCCTTCACCGCATCTGTCGGCGAGGATAAAGACGCGGAAAGTCAGGACGCAGATAACGGAAGTAGCGGTACCAGGAGGTGTGGTGTCGGAACCAAAGCGGATCTTGGAGGCAGCGGCAGACTACTTCCGCAACCTCTTCAGAGAAGATAAACGCACGGTGACTTCAGACTGGAGTCCAGCGGCCGGGAAGAAGCTGATGTATTCTGATGCGGAGAGCCTGCAGGGGGAATGGACGGAGAAAGAAGTCAGACAAGCGTTGCGGGAAATGGCTTGTAACAAGACGCCAGGGAAAGATGGTTTACCGAAGGAGGTGTTTGACATGCACTGGGATACGCTCGGGAAGCATGTCATGGGGCTGGTCCGAGACTTTACCCTTACCTCTTCACTCCCGACCAGCGTGAAGGATGCGGTGACGATCCTCCTGCACAAGAAAGGAGCGAAAGAGCAGTTTGATAATTACCGTCCTATCACGCTACTGAACATCAGCTACAGTACAAAGTATTGGCACGGGTCTTGGCGAGCAGAATCAAGAAGGTGCTTCATAGGGTGATCTCACCGGAACAGTTCGGATTTATCCCGGGAAGACGGATGTCGGATGCGGTGGGGCTGGTCGCTGATATCATTGACGCAGCCAAGAATGGGTCGGAGGACTGGTTCATGCTGCTTGTTGACTTCAAAAAGGCGTTTGACTCGGTGTCTCGCGATTTCATCTTTGAAGTAATGGAGAAAATGGGCTTTCCGGCTCGTTTTATTGGATGGGTGAAGGGTCTGCACACGAACACGCTGACAAATCTGTTAATCAACGGCTGGCTGGATGAGGCGGTGGAAGTGGTCTCGGGTGTGAGGCAGGGCTGCCCCTTAGCACCCTACCTCTTCCTCTGTGCGGTGGAGCCTCTGGCGCAGAAGGTGATGAAGCGGAAGATAGGGATTTCCCTCACCAGCTGTGTCGGTCAGAGGTTGGCTTACATCGGCTATGCAGATGACACGACCCTCCTGCTGCAGGGGAAACAACAAATTGGAAGGGTAGAAGAGGTGTTGGAGGAGTTCAAATGCATCTCCGGCTTAGAGACCAACAAGGGGAAATCAGTGGTGATGCCTTTGGGTGCTAGCCTGGGAAAGAAGACATGGCGCACGGATGGGTTTCGTTGGGCTGGTGAGAACGAAGCGGAAAGACTGCTTGGAGTATGGGTCACGCCGAATGGGAGCTGTCAGCCGACGTGGGATAAAGCGCTGCAAAAAATTGCCGGGAAGATGTCGCTGTGGCAGCCGCAATTCCTCCCAATTAAGGCCCGGACAGCGGTGATGGACGGGTATATACTGCCGATCGCGTGGTCCCAAGCTCAGGTGTATCCGCCGCCCGCGCAAACCTGGAGTGTGATTACAAAGATGACGCATAATTTCATGTCAGCTAACAAAGTTACATCGGAAAAGTGTTTCAACCTCTGGAGCAAGGAGCTTCTGCTCACACCGGTACTGGAAGGTGGAGTGGGGGCGAAAAATCCGGAGGCGATGCTTACCTGCTTAACTGCCAGGAGGATCGGGCTGGTACTTATGGAGACGGACCAGCTAAAGCGAGAACTGATGCGCCAAGCAGCTGACCTGCCAAGTGGGGTGGAGACGTTCATGGCACATGAGAAGCTGCTGAAAACCTGGGAGGGGAAAAGCCAGCGATGGAAGCTGGCGTGCGCAAATTTCATGCGCTCTCCTTTAGCGGTGTCCACGGAGGAACGAGAGACAAAGGAGCTGATGCTGGAGAGAATCACGTTCAACAGATACATCCTCTTGAAAGGAACCACGCCAGTGGGGGGGCAGAAAGCAGCGAAACGGCTTCTGGACGTCAGGCTTGGCGATCTTGTTGGGAGAGATGCGGAAGGAAGTGGGGTGCTGAAAAGTCTTGAAACCCTAGAGAGGGAGCTGTGGGGGAGGGACTCAGCAAATCTTGCGCTCAAGGCTTTTGCAGCTGCGCCAGAAGCCTGGAGAAAACAGCTCATCTCGACAGAACTTCCGAACATGAGCTTTGCGGACGAGTATGAGGTGGGAAGAGGAGGCCCTCTACAGCTCCGGGCGAAGCTGCTGGCGAAAGGAAAAGCAGTTCCGCTGAGGTCACTCAGAAAACACTGGAAGCATGGCAACAGCGGAAAGAACAGGCGGGAGAAATGGGAGAGTCGGTGGGGCGGCAACATTGATTGGAAACGGGCAGTACAGATTCGTGAGTCACTTGTTACCCCGAGCCGTCCAAGAGATGTTCTGCTACGAATCCACTGTCTTAATCTGCAAGTAGGGGAGAGACTGGAGTTTCTCAGCAGCAAACCAGTCTGCCCTCACTGTGGGGGTTTTGAGACACTGGAACACTGCCTCTTGGAGTGACCGAAAACTCAAGGGGTGGCTTCGGCGGTTAAAAAGGCCTTACGGATGATCAACCCAGGCAGGAAAAGTGACTCGCTCGGTGATTGGTTGTTTGGCAAAGCCGGGTCCCAGTCAGCATTTCCGGAGGCGTCACTGGTTGCGATTGCCCTTCATCAGCTATGGGCGGAAAGGTGTGAAGGGGCCTTCAGGGGCTGCAAATTCCGCACGCGAAGAGTTTTGCGGAGAATTGAGTCGGCCCTCCGCATGCACGTGAATGTTTATGTGCGGGCTTCCGAGGCAAGGATGCAGCAGCGAGTAAAAGGTCAGCAGGCCAGGTGGTGGAAAATGACGGAGCAAGAACGTGATCTTCTGAACCGCATCAGAGTAGTGGATGGCAAAGGTTGGAAGTGGTCCAACAGTTTTGCAGCAAATTGGGGCAAACCTCGCAGGCCCCGGATCCATGTCTGAGGATCAAACATTCTGAGGCAGGTTCCCCTGTCTCTCATGCACAGTTACGACTGTTTATGCGTTGTACACTTGTACTCTGGTGTATAATTCATATAAGCAAAAAAAAAAACAAAACAAAACAAAACAAAAAACAAAACAAAACAAAACAAAACAAAACAAAAAAAAACAAAAAAAAAAACAAAAACAAAAACAAAAACAAAAAAAAAAAACAACAAAAAAAACACCAAAAAAACAAAACAAAAAAAAAACAAAAGGAAAAAAAAAAAAACGCGGTGTCGGTTACCCTGAGGTCACCTACATTTGGGATGAGATTGGGCCCCTCGCGTTTTTTTTTTTTCTTCCTTAGTAAGATATCTTTAGCACGAGCTGAGCTTGACGTGAGAGTGATATTCTAGTTTGTTCTTAGCATCCAAGTTGGATGCTACGTAGTATGCACAGTTTTCGTGCCAGTACTAGTAGCTAGCTGGTTTTGGAGTTTTTCAACCTGATTTAAAAGCATGAGAGAATTTCAGAAATTAAGATCGTCCACCCTTTGCATGTGTGTAATTGTGTGTGTCCATGTGGCGTCACAGAGGAGCACGTGCGTCCTCCTTAGAGCTCGTTCTCACATCTAACGTGCATCTCACAGCGTAAGTTCCTCATGATACCACGTCTGCACATGCCACGTCTGTCTGCGTTTGCCTCTTAGATACCGACCATACGCATGCCTCCCGTCAACCAAGCCTTACCGTGTGTAATATATTTTTCCTCATTTCGAGCCCACTCTTTCTTGCCTTGCTACTCCCCTCCCCACAAGCACTTTCCCCTCTCTTTCCTC